GGGAGGCCAAGGCAGAAAGATCATGTAAGCCCAGAAGTTTGACAGCAGCCTGAGAAAGGGGGACACCCCTCTCTAAAAACAGCCTGGCACGTGGTGGGCATCGGTAGTCCCAGCTACGTAGGAAGCTGAGGCAAGAGGATTGCTTGAGCCCAGTAGTTTGAGGTTGCTGTGAGCTATGATGCCATGTAACTCTATCCAGAGCAACAAAGTGAGACTCTGTTTCAAACAAACAAATAAATAAACAAACAAAATAAAATAAAATTACAAAAGCTAAAAAAGTGGATTTTGCAGAGATAGAGAGTAGAAGGGTGGCTACCAGAGGCTGGGAGGGGAAGGAGAAAGGGAAGCTGATTAATGGGCATAAAAGTACAGTTAGATAGAAACAATACGTTTTCTTTGGTACTACAGTAGGAAAATTATAGTTAATAACAGTTTATTGTATATTTCAAAATACCTAGAAAAAAATTACAGTGTTTCTAACACAGCGAAAATTGTTTGAAGTTATGGATACCCCAATTGCCCAGATTTGATCATTACACATTGTGTATACCTACATATACATATAAAAAATATCAGGTGTACCCCCCAAATATGTACAACAATGATATATCCATAAAAATATAAAAAATAAAATAAGGTTATAAAAGTTATTTTTGCACACTTTTCATAATTTCCGAAAGAATTTAAAAGAATGTACTTTTTGTTTAGACTTGACTAAACTGTGTTTCTTTAGGAAAATCGTATCCTTCATAACACCACTTACAGTATTTGAGTTTCCCAGGAGCTGTTCCTATGTCCTCCTGCGATTGTGGCTGTTACATTCACAGAGATTCTCTGTACAGGTGTAAACATCTGTCTCCTTTACTGTGTCTTATAGTTCAGTCACAATTGAACATTTGCATATTAGTGTGCATGTTATTTATTATTGAATTGTTTCTTCTAATTTCTCATTTGCAGGGTGTCCCGAAAGGGAAAATGTAGCTATTTAGTACCTTTATTTACAAAATACTCATCACAAAATTTTACAAAGAGGTGGCCACCATGTAAAGAGTATTTTGGAAATATTTTGTGAAATATACATAGGACATTTTGTTGAATTTTAAAAAGACATTACGTGTGTGATCAAGTTATGTTATCTGTGACTATTATTTCAAGATTGTATAAGAGGTTTTGTAAAATATTTGTTACAAAAAAGATGCCTTGGGTGTGCTGGGCTTAGGAATGACTGTCATACCAATAGGTAGTGTTACGGCTCTGATAATCACCTTGCATAAGAAGGCCTTGACATTGGGAAGGAAGTATTTCAGAACAGATCTGTCCCGGAGAAACACAACGAGAGTCACATGTATAATACTGAATTTCCTAGGAGCTATATTTAAGAATGTAAAAAGAAGTAGGTGAAATTAATCTTAATGATTTGATAATGTATTTTGTTTATTTAATTTAACTAGCTATCATTTCAAAATGATCAACAGAAAATCATTGTGTTTTGTTGTGTTCGTAGTGTCACAGTATTTTGCTCCTACCACACGTCTCAGTGTGGATTAGCCACCCCTCCAGGCCCTCGGCAGACACGTGGCTAATACTGTCATCCTGGACAGCACAGGTCTGGAGGTTCCATGAACAGAAGCAATCCAAGAGAGGGAGGAAGTTGTCAGTCGTCCCTTCCTTTATTAGCAGGGGCGAAATGACAGCTGCTGCTCGTGTCGTTTTCCTCTTTTTTGCAGCTTTCAGCTCGAAGTCTTGCTGATCCAGCTCAAACTCAGGCCATCTGCAGCCTCGCTCCGAGCCAGAGGGGCAAGGAGCGGCGGGCAGCAGCTCCACAGACACAGCCACCTGCCACAGCCCAAAACTAGACAGAAAAGATTCTTTTGAAACATCTGTCACGGTCTCTCTCTTCATTGTCCCCAGACTCTCAGATCCCTCGGCACCAGACACTCTCCCTCCCTAGCTGCCAAGTACAAAGCTCTTTTCCTCAAATGACAAAGGCTCCATGCTTCCCTTGCTGTCTCCTTTCCTGTTTCATATATCCAGCATTTTCCTGACCCTCATTCAGCTGATTCCTTGTTGTTGCCCACTGCTAACACGCTCGTTCTTGATCTAACGGTCAGAAGGAAGTTTTATCACTCTCATAGTCTGATGTTAAAGCCACAGGCCATAGAGAGCAACACACCTGAGTTCACACCCTGTTTATATCACGCGGGAGCTGTGTGATCTCAAGAAGTAGGGTCAATTTGGAGCTACAGCTATCCATAAAATTAAGGTGAAAATAATACCACACTTTGTCGTGAAACTGAGCTGAAGCAATGGGCATGATAAATTTAGCACAGCCCCTCACCCATTGCAAGCAACTAATAAACAGAAGCTCTTATCATTATACTATTCCTCCATCTATAATACCTTCCCTACTTTCAGCCACATGTCCAAATCCTAATCACGTTTTGAAGTCTTTCTCAAATCCCACCTCTTTTCTAAGCCTTCTAGAAATTTTAGTCTCTTCTTTTCCTTTGTTTCTTGAGAACTATGAAATCAACTTACACTGGCATTGACTTCTAGTCCAGGATGAATAACGGTCATCTAGTAAATTCTATAATTATTAATTAATGATGAAAAAGAAACCTATAGCAGATGATGCTGGTACCCAACCCCACTTTTCTTGACCCACCTGAGTCTGTTTGCAGTTAGGATGGACAATTGTACCAGGCCCCCTTCCCTTCTCACTTCCCTCTTACCATGTAATCTATCTGGAATCACCTCCTGAACAACCAACGTGCAGCAGAGTTCTTGCCTCAAATTTTGCTTTTAGGAGAAAACCAAATAAAATAAGAAATAATGTCATGAGTCCATATTGAATGCCAAGCACATGGTGGGCATTCTACTCTCATTATCTCTTTTGCGTCCTAAACGTTCTCATGGGATTGTAACCAAACCAAACTGCGTACCCTTAGCCTAACACCAAAGCATAAGGTTATTGAGGATAGAAAGGTTTATTGTCAGGTAGCAAAACAAGGAGACAGGAGTCAGACCCAATCTGTCTCCTTGAGTGGGGGTTTGGGTTTGTTTTCTAGTCTGGGATCATAAGGTGTGATCTGGTTGGACCTTCCCATGCAGGGACTGAAGCCAGGGGACGTGCCTCTGACTGGATCCTGCCATGGGGTGATACTAGGGCTTGATCTGATGGGATCCTGGATCCTGGATCCTGCTGTGTAGTGCCCATGTCTCACTTCATTCTCCGGTCCCCGGTCCCAGCATTTAGGTCCCACCCGCCGTTAGTGCATGCTTGGTTTATCTGCGCATGCTCAGATTACATGCTCTTCAGCCGAGGGGGCCCATGGCAACTGAAAAGCACCTGGTAGCTTTGTTGCATGAGAGTTGAACCAGTCTGATCTGATGCATTTGGAAGATTGGTGTTTATTATGCTCATTTTGTACTAAGAAATTAGAAAGCCAAGACCCCAAATAATTGACTTGTGCTCTGTGTTATGGATAATATTAAGTAGCAAACCTGGCAATCCAAATACTTCTTTGGAGGCTCATTTCTGAATTAATAATTGTGTAGAAAAAGAATAAAACATTTCAGGGTAAAGCTGAAAGAAACATACTACAGAAAATAGAGTCAGGTAAAATTAGATCTCTTTCTTAGGTCCAGCCAAAATGTGGAAAACTAAGATATAGAAAAAGAATGCAATGAAATAGTATCTCAAGACATCGTACATTAGAAGTACATTGTCTTAGATGTTATTTAAATGCCTTATATATAATCTATTTTTTTTTTTTAATTCTGGGAAGTAGAGACAGGAAGCTATGGCAACAGAGAGCTAACCAAATGAGTCAGATTTCATAACAAGGTATTAAAAGATAAAACCAATTTGGCCTCTATGACTTTGGAGAAAGAATTAGACAAAGGGGACTTTTATGTGTGCTGAGATACTGAAAAGAAAAGTTGATTGATGAAAATATTACTGAGAAAAATTTCTCTTTCATGTTAAAATTTTCTCATGCAGAGTTGTGTGTTGTTTTTTTTAATCTTCCCAAGTCACACAGGCCATCTACATAAGGGTGATTGAATTATAATGTGAAATGTCAAATGCAGTTAAGAGTGGGGAAGGAGATAGCTGGGCAAATGTCAAAGGAGGCAGAGGATAAAGAGATGTTTCCATGTGCAGAGGTAAGTGTTGGATGGCCAGTGCATTTCCTAGAGTTTTAGGCACTATGTTAATCCAATTGGAGAAGTTAGAAAAATTCAGCTAGAATTAGGGGAGCAGATATATTTCCCAGTTGAACTAATGAAGTGGCTCTCTGTGGTCTAGCTGTCAAGTCGAGTCTACAGTTTTTGAAAAATGAAGGTGAGGAGTTTATACGAGGTGAAGCCCAGCCTCTTCATAAAAAATAGAATTGTATCTTCAGTTTTCATAAAGTTTGAGACTGCTTGGTATTTCTTTTAAGCTTTGAGATAATCCGACAAAATGTATTCCGTATTTATTATGTATTGCCTCCATAGTTGCCATTATTTGCCTTTAGAATGTCACATAAAATTATGAAGAACTAGTCAGCTCGCATTAGGCATCATAGTTGGAGTCCTTTGAATTTTTTAATGGTTTTCACTTATGAAACCCAAAAGTCTTACATCATGTTAGTTAATGTAAATTTATTAGCACTGCTATAAAGCCATTTAGTTCTGAACCCTAGAAAAAGTGACTTGTAGCCAACCGAGCTTTTAGAGGGCATCCTGTAATTCACATTTTAACAAATGTCATTTTCTAAGTGCGTTACCTCATGTTTGGCTACAACCCAGCTGCATCCTGAGAGAGCAAGAGAAATGTGCTTTCTGACTGGTTCATGCATATTTTATTTTACTTTTCATTAAGAAATTACTCTGTAAAGGAAATCAATAACCTTCTGTGACTGAGGGAGGGGTCCATGGTGTGTTTTCATATCTCAGATCTAACTGCCTGCAGCAGCTGTTGCTGATAGAGTTTTTGTCCTTTCTTATTCCTGCAGCCTGGGTATATGGCGACCCCCGGAGAATGGCCTATCCTACAGACAGCCAGGGCCACTTCTGTGGCCAGAAAGGCACCCCTAACGAGTGAGTATGGCCACTTTTGCTTTGTGTGACTTTGTTGTCTAAATTTGAACCTACATATCACTTTTATTTCAATCCTACTGGACCTCGACTGAAATTCATAAAGCAGGCCTTCTCTCCTCCTGTTCCTACAGATGGCTGTCCCTGATATAACCTAAGACAGGATGTCATTATCAGGCAGAATTTTATTAGCATTCACAGTGACTCTGCTTAGTAAAAATATAATTATAATGAATGAGTTGGACCAGTGGTTTTATCCAAAGTCGTATTTTTAAAATGCCTTGTAAAATGAGCTATTGGAAGACTGAGTTGTAAGTAGCTGCTGAGAAGCTGACAGTACAATTGTTAGAATTATTTTCGTCACACTGCCTACTGATAATTCTTTCAAAGTGAGAATCACACCAGAAAGTCTTCCAGGATGGGTCAGCTTTTCAAGGAAACTCTGCTATTGTGAACACGGCCCAGGAGTAGCTAAGACAAACAAGGAAGAATGTTCCATCAGATTCCTTTCCATGTTAATCAGAAGTTTCCATTTCTGAAAGCAAGTTTTCAATTTTTTCCCCTTTTTTATCTGAAAAATAAGCCAGCAAGCCCCCACCAATGTCACATTTTTTAACAAAACTTTCCCTCCTTTCTTCCCTCCTTTTACATTTCTTTTCTGGGGTTGTTGCTGACTCTCCTGGCTGTTTAAAGCTAATTCAGTTTTTATTTATTATTTATTTATTAATTTTTATTAAATGATAGCTGTGTACATTAATGCAATCATGGGGGACAGTGTGGTATTTTCATATACAATTTGAAATATTTTCATCAAACTGGTTAACATAGCCTTTATGTCATTTTCTTAGTTATTGTGTTAAGATATTTATATTCTACTTTTAGAAAGATTCACTTGTACCCAAGCCCAAGTGCCCATCGATCCGTGAATGGATCAATAAACTGTGGTATATGTACACCACGGAATACTATGCAGCCATAAAGAAAGATGGAGACTTTACCCTCTTATGTTTAAATGGATGGAGCTGGAAAATGTTCTTCTTAGCAAAGTATCACAAGAATGGAAGAAAAAAGTATCCAATTCAGTTTTTATAAAGGCTGGTTTGGGATGGTTAAAAAGAAAACAGAACAGTAAGGCTCTCTCCCCCCAAGCCCAACAACAAAAACCATGGTTGGTGGTGCTTCAGGTAAGTTCTCTACACTGCCCACTTGCAACTGTGGATCTTACTATCCCAAGAGATACACAGATTTAACAAAAAAACAGATCTGGGAAAATGTTCACAAAATTCATGTGGTAGAATTATTCCAGACAATCAAGAAAATGCAAAAATTTTAGGTGGAGAGGAAAATTCTTAATCATGCATGCTTTGGTGAGTTGGTAGGGGACAGACTGACTCCTACCAAAGGTCCTCATTGCCTATTAGCAAAAACTGGACCCGATTCTAATACAGAATGGTGATTTTATTTTCATTTCAGTAACTCAGACATTGCCAACATCCCAATAAAACCTTCACACTCTGAAGGACAAAGAAAACCCCAGTGGTGAAAGAAGTCGTACAAATTTCCAAATCTTGAGTTCTTTAAAAAGGGCTATTTTTAAACAAGCTTTTGTGACAATAAGTTTCCCAGACCTAAGCCAATGACCCATATATTTCAAACAAAAAATATGCCACTACAAATTTCAGTATATAAAAATAATTCAAAGACAATCCTCACTTAATAGGCAGACATGTTCATTATTTATATAAACATTATATAATCAATAGTTATTATTTATAATAACAATATGTTACAAACTATGCAGAGACTCAATTCTGTTGATTTTTCTTTATAGTTTCTAGATTTTTTTGTGTTATGATTATATTAACAATTCCTTTCTTCCTCCTTAAGATAACATTCTCCTGTATTTCTCTAGGATTTTTAATATTTAAATTTCTTTTTCAATTTCTAATCTGTGTGGAATTTATTTTTGTATGTGAACTGAAGTAGTAATTTTTTTTTTCCAAATGCAGAGCCAATTATTTCAGAATAGTTTAATAATACGCACTTTCTCTTTCTGATTTCTAACAGAATTACCATATAATAAATCTATGTATTTTTGTTTCTGAACCATCTCACCTGTTCCAGTATATATTTTAAGCCTCTCAATTATTTACATTTTATAAAAAATGTGTATTTATTTAAAATTTTAATAAATTACTTTCAATTATGCTTTGCATTTTAGTAGTAAGTAAAAATATTTATGAAAAAATAAAATTTGAATCATTATAAAAAATTTTTGTAGGCTGGGCACAGTGGCTCATGCCTGTATCCCAGCACTCTGGAAGGCCAAGGAAGGCATATTGCATATATCAATATATACCTGAGAAAATGTATCCAGAGCTTTGTTATTTGAACTGTTTTTACAAAATCAAAAAGAAAGAGCTGATCATCTGATATGAAAGCAGATAAAAGTCAGAACCAGGAAAGAATAGAATACTGGCCAATAACAATAGAAAATGTTGTTCAACCCTGGTTAAAATAGGAAATGCAAATTAAGATATTATTTTTGTCTAGTAGGTTGTCAAATAAATTTTTAAAATTAAAATTTCCAGTGTTGACCTGAATGAACAGAAATAAGCACCTCATTTTATACTTAGGGTTGTGTTCTGTGATAATATTTGTCATATTTTATAAAATATTTATCAGACTTGTATATTCTTTTTGATTCAGCAGTTTTCCTCCTAAAATCTTATCTGACGGAAATTTGACATATTTCCGTTGTTATGGGTCCTGTGAAATGGTGATAACAAGATGAGAAGGGCCCATGTGTCTCTCAGTAGGAGACTTCTTAAATGGATTATGGTACAGTCAAATAATACAATATTGTTTAATCATTAAAAATCATTCATGATACATTGTTAATTCAAGAATTCAGGTTACTGGGTGGCGCCTGTAGCTCAAAGGAGTGGGCATCGGCCCCATATGCTGGAGGTGGTGGGTTCAAACCCAGCCCTGGCCAAAAACTGCAAAAAGAAAAGAAGAATTCAGGTCACTAAAAATGGCATGTATAGTATAATTCCATTTGGGGAGTATGTTTATAAATTTGTATACTTTATATTCACTTACATAAAAAGATCTATATTTTTAAGGAAAAAACACCTGAAAAGATATACGTATGCCAACCGTAATTATTCCTTGGTGATAGGATTATATTTTTATTTTTATTCACCTACCTTTTAGCCCTATTATGTCACAGACAGCATCCTAAAGGCTGCGATTATAGTGCAAACAAACGGGCAAGCTGCTGGCCTTCAAAAAGCGGAAGGTGAAAGGGAAATACACAGCAAAGATGTAAATAAACAAGATGATGTCAAATAGTGAGAAACTCGGTGAAGGACGGGACCAGGAGAGGAGGGCTGATGGAAGGTGACTGCTGTGCAGTGGGAGGCAGTCACCTCGTGGCTGCACGGATAGAGGGGGGTGAGGGGTGGGTGCTTTCATGAGGGGGTGACTTTTGAACTGAGATATGAAGACTAGGCAGAGGCCAACCTTACAAAAGCTCTGGCAAGAGCTTTTAAGACAGAGGCAACCAGGGCAAAGGTCCTGGGGCAGGAGTGACCTTAGGATACTCCCGGCAGAGAAAGAAGCCCGGGAGGCTGGAATGTAGCAAACAGAGAGGGCAGTGGAGCCTGCAGACGTCTGTCTGAGAAGCAGGTAAGAGTCCCATCTGGGGAGTCTAATAAAGTGATTGCATTATTTATGAGTAAAAGGTCTTCAGCAAGACTGAGCCAGTCTACGTTACATCTCGATAGACCCACTCTTGTTGCTTTTATACTTTCCCGAGCTGTTTCACTTGTTCAGGGATCATGTATGCAGAAAAGTATTAAGCTCTTTTCATTTTGAAAAGAATTAATGGCATATTTTGTTATAGAATATGACATAAATTTTGAGTAATTTTTATTTTATTTATCTGCTTCTGTGCATCATAAATTTCTATGAAAATTTGTATTTTTATATTTTATAATATAAAGTATCATATTACGAAATATATATATTTTTATTTTATAAAATAATATAATATACAAATATGAAATATATATATTTTGTATTTCTCTCAAATTTTTCAAAAATATAGGAAAAGAAAAGCACATAAGCTGAGGCCATGAATTATCTTAGTTATTAAAGCCCTTTAAAAAATAACAGAATAAAGCAAAAAATTTTTTTAAATGAATGCAGAGGGTGCCAAAAATGTATACTCATTTTAAAACAGAAAAAAAAGTATTAAAATTGTAGTACTCAATATATACTGGTAACAAAAGATAAGTCATACTGAGCCTGTCTTGTAATTGCAGACATCAAACATGACTTGAGTTTTATAATATTAATACAGCTTTTTCCTTTCTTAAAATGTGTGTACATTTTCTGGCACCCCCTGTATATGCCCTGGAGTCAAATTCTGATTTTACCTCCTTACGGCATCAACCCTGGGGCATGAAACACAACGTATTTCATCCTTAATTTTCTGATAATGAAGCAAAAATTAAATGAGAGAACAGTAATTCAGGAGAAATGTGTGGTCCCTTCTCTCAAAGCACTTCCATGTCCCCTGCTGCTCCCCTGCTGTTTGTTGAGGTCCTCCAAAGGCAGGTCTCTATACCTTAGGCTAGAGACACTCCAGTACAAAAGACACCAATTTCTTCCTGAAGGATCTCCTGGTCTTCAGGGACAAAGTTAGGAAAGCCACGGAGGGGGACTTCAGTGTGGTGTGTTCAGTGCGGTGTGCTGTCTTAGGACCGGTATAGTGCTGACAATCCCATGTGAAGCCGTCCTCACAACCCCCCACCATTCCTTTCCCTCCTTAGTCTCGGGAACAAGACCCTGATCTGCTGCCTTGAGTACTTATCACCACCTGGATTTATCCTGATTATTAAGTTGTTAACTTTGTTTATCCCGCCCTCCCCCCCACCCAAATTCCGCCTCTGGGGCCAAAGTTCTTTAGGACCAGGGACATTTTCTATCATTTT